TGTGTCTTTAGTTTGCACCGAATGGGAGTCCAGTTCAGCATGTGTCAAGTATATACCTAATAGACTTAAATATTAATAGAGGTGTGCTTTACGTTTGTTGATGACCAATAACTCGATCCATTGGGACCTAGAACGGGACAATCTGGACACAAAACTATCGCTGCAGCTTCAGGCTTAAATAAAACGCCATTTTCTGCACAATTATTTGAATTTATCTAACTAGCTATTTGAGCATTGCCGTTATATCCCAGCATGTGTAATATGTGCCTCAGTTTCATTGTCCCACCGAGGCTAACTTCAGCCTATCTTTGGCCCTGGATATTTACGGACACAATCATCGATGGTGTTATTGGAAACGTTTCCTATAGCCATTAACTCTCTAGCTAGTTATAATAATTGCATAATATTTACTGAGTTTATTGGCTACGGTCGGACTACGATAACGTGCATAAAGTTGAATGGGTGATACCATTTACATAAACGATTGGAAAAACAGTATGATTGAGCTCATTAAGTGTATTTGTTTTTCCTTGATTCTTTTATTTTGTTGTAGGGGTAGTTATGGTACAGTAGAAAATAGGGAAGGCTAGGATAGGTAATGTTGTTTAGATATTTGATTTTTAATAATAATGATGATAGATGTAAGTTAATTTCTCCTCAAATAATATCTTTTGATTTATTTCGTTGCGGGATCCAAGACAATCATACAATTCCCTGGGACGCCTGTACCAAATTTCACAGATTTTGATTCAGTAGTTTAGGCATAAAGAAAGGACAGACGACGAGACAGACAGAGGATTATTGAAAGAAAGTCCTCGAGACTTCTACTGGAAGGAAAGTTATTTACTTAGTTATTAGCCGGTTTTTACAGAAAGTAAATAAATCCACCATCGCGAAACAATATTTTATTTGCCGATGAAATTCGCGGAAAACTTCACAGCTTGCAAAAATTGGATCAGCTGTTCATAAAAACCGAGGCCTTATTGGAAAAAAGTGTACAATAAATCAATCTAAAAAGTATACTCATTTGTTTCTGGGCGTATTGAAATTTCGCGAGCCAAGCCGTATTGTTTTGAACTGGGCCCTTTGTTTGAAAAAGTTTTGATGGTCATACTTTTTGTTACTTTTTTGAAATCTCGTTAAAACTATCCAGGGACCGATGAATGACGTTTTTGATATAGTTTTTAGTATTCAATAGATTGGTGTAGGTAAATATTGTGGAATTTTATGTATGGATAGTTCAATAGGGAGTATTGTCTGTAAAGGTTTTTTTGTGTTTCGCCGTTATTTTGTGTTTTAGTTTTGATTTTTGTCTTTCAGTCTCTTTTTAGTCAATCGTCAGCTGTTGAATTACGAAAAATTTAGAACCCGAGTTAACTATTCTAATAAAACTATCTTATACATTGTCGTATTATAAACAAAAATTTTTCGTCTAATGAAAAACATGTACTTATTTATACTTACTACTCTGATTCAAAACAGAATAGTATTAATTTTTTTTTTGTTAAACAATTATTGTCTATTATCACACCACCTATTTAACTTTCCAATATGGCCGCGCATTCCCCAAAACGGACGTCCTGACTTTTCCAATTCACTATTGCAACTAATTAAAACTTTAGTTTAATCCGAGATTCCCATTATACTTTCAGAAATGGCGACGGGTTAACCTAGAACTGCGAGGAGGGTGATCTCATTGGCTACTTTTACACCGTTGTGTGTAAGTGTTATTTTCTTATAACCTAAGTTTGAGTTGAATGCTTTTTGTGGGTTTTCAATGTTTGGTCTTCCAAGACAATGTCTCTTGATATTTACGAAATAAAAAATGTTAAGTAATTGTTATAATCAATGTATAGTATGTAATGTATAGTCTATAATCAATGTGTGTTACCAGCGATGACCTATGGAACTGAAACGTGGTCTCTTACTGTGGGCCTTATAAAGAAGCTCAAGGTCGCTCAGCGCACTATGGAGAGGGCTATGCTCGGAGTTTCTTTGCGAGACCGTATAAAAAACGAGGATGTCCGCAAACGAACAAAGGTTTCCGACATAGCCCAGCGGATTAGTAAGTTGAAGTGGCAATGGGCAGGGCGCATAGCGCGTAGAACCGACGGCCGCTGGGGCAGAAAGGTTCTCGAGTGGAGGCCACGTACCGGCAAGCGCAGCGTAGGACGTCCACCCGCAAGGTGGACAGACGACCTGATTAAGGTCGCAGGAAGCCGCTGGATGCAGGTCGCTTCCAACCGGCCTATCTGGAAGTCAATGGGGGAGGCCTATGTTCAGCAGTGGACGTCCTGTGGCTGATATGATGATGATGATGAAGTAATTGTTTAGATTGTTATAGTGCCTTAACCTATGCTCTTTAATTTTTAGCTATTCCAATGATTTAATGTTAAAAATTGTTTTTGTAGCAATTAATCGATAATTAGAGCTACAAGTGCACAGTCGGCCATTGGCAATGGGGTGAGTCGGACGGAAAATGGAAAAAAATCGGGATTTGAGGATTTGGGATTTGAAAGATTGGGCCTCTAGTAATCTCACGCACACGACCAAATTCAGCGCAACGCGACGTCAGTTTCGTCTGTTTTCAAACAATTCGGTGTGTAAGACATTCTAAATCCAACATACTAAAGCGAAAACAGCAGGACTTAAATGGTTTTCTCTTTGTCAAGCCAATTTAGTAATGTGCTTATTTTCACCAGTCGACTTCTGATTGTAAATTCAGTTGTTAAAAGCATTTAGACTATTGTAACTATGGGATCTAGAAGTGTCTTTAATGACTTTAAACTATCGTGACAAAAGCTTAGTCCTAGCCTAGAAAATAGCATCTTACTCAGTTTGCTTAAAGCTGAAAGTTGAAAAACTGGTCGAAGAAAATTTTCGAAATGTTTTCTTAGTTGCTAAGACAATTTTCTTTGAATATGGTAGCGAGAAGAATGAGAGAGATCTTTTCAAGATGTGAAAGTAATATAGCCCGTGACTCAGTGAGTATTACGTTGCCTCGTTTTAATCAAGTTTCCTTCGGTTTTTATTAAAAACTAAATGTGTATGCAGATTTTTATGTAGCAAAAAAGTTCCGTTTTGTTTTGTAATTAATAACATGATTACAGTTTTTAGTTCCGAAACAGGAAGGTTTATTTTGAGGGGATTATCATTTAACGACTTCTTCCACTAAAGTAGATATACTTTAAGCCAATTATGTATTAACTCAAGCCAAATATACTGTTGTCATTGATTAGACTGGACACTATTCTGATCTGCAAATGGAAATATTTGTATGGTATTCCAAAAACCTCGAATCAAGGCTTAGGAAATTGAGCAATCCCTTGAACGCAGACACATAGAAATTGTGTATCAATAGAATTTTGTTAGCAAATAAATCTTTAAAAAGTTTTACTACCTCAAAATTCAAACTACTACTGGCACAATGCAAATAAAAAAACACGATCGCTATTCTCGTTCGAAATTCAAAAGTGGTACGCTAGTAGCAAAAGTTCAGTTGTTATGAACGTACGTGCCTCTCCATAGTTTGTGGTGGATGCCCATAATAACCGAGTAAACGGTGAGTAACACCAGTAAATTCAGAAACACGAAGTAGCCCTGTAAATGTATGGGTGTTAAGGAATTTTTATTTTCATTAAATTTTATTTTTATTTTTAATAAGTACCTAACTATTTGTGATCGGTAATTTTATGTGTATAGCCAATGCAATTTTTGTAAAGAACAAACTGTAACGCTTGTTAAACCAAACCTTAGGCATTATACCCACCTATTTACGCAGTATGTTCCTGAAGTATCAGGTAAACAAATAATAATTGACCACTCTGGGTATACCATATTGATTTCACACTACTTATATTTTATACAATGTGAAATGAAACAATTTTGAAACTTTTTTCATTTGATAGGGTGGCAAACGACCTCAAGGAGTACCTGATGGTAAGCAATTGGCGCCACCCATGGACACCTGCAACAGCAGAGGAGTTACAAGTGCGTTGCCGGCTTTTTAGATTTGTAGGTTTTGTTCAAAGATTGGGAAATAGGAAAAAGGATTCTACCTCCAGAAACTCACTCACACGGCGAAACACAACGCTGTGGTTGTTTGAAGCTAATATTCTTTGAGCTCGTGGTGTCACTCCGGTCGAAGCACGTGCTAATACATGGCTCACCCACACTTAAACACATATTTTTTCTTTAAAACTGCAAGATACTTCATGTGAAACCAAAACAGCTGTTTTATTTCATTCCCTTCATAGTAATCAAACAAAAAGGGGGCAGCTTAAAGAATGCGCAGTATTTTACATATTTAAAAGGTTTCCTCTCGATTCGCAAATGTTTTTCGATAATATTTGTTTTTCCTTCACCCTTCCATGCAAATTGGTGAAAATACTTTAAAGCAATGCGGTGTAAAATACTTTTATTTATTTTTGGACTTATAATAAAAACAGATGTCGTAATTTTTTTGTTTTTGTTACTTTACTAAAGCAGTTTATGAAATATTTATTACGTGTTATTTAAGTGGAGAGCCAAGCTTCGATACGAATTGGTTGGCTCGACCGGAGTGATACCACCACGGCCTCACAGAGTACCGGCGTGAAACAACCCAGCGTTTTATTTCGGCGTGTGAGTGTGGTTACCGGAGGCCCAATCCCTTCCCTTCGCCTATCCCTTCCCGATCCTTTTATCCGCAACCCCTATCCCCAAAAGGCCGACAATGCACTCGTAACTTATTTGGCGTTGCGGGTGTCCATAGGCGGCACCGATTGCTTACCATCAGGTAATCCGTCTGCTAGTTTGCCGACTTATACCATAAAAAAATATTTACGTAAAAGAATACCTTAATTGATTAAAATAATATATCAATAACTTATCATTATGTAGAGGTAGATTCTTGTCAAATGCTAGGCCTCCGTTTAGAAGAAATAAGCATTTCGATAAATAAATATACATTTAGAAATATCTGTAACAGAATTCATAGAATAATAAACGTAATTATATAAACATTAGCGTATATTTTTATAAAAAATCAGGTCATAATAATATTATTATTTTACAAAATTGTTGATATTTAAAAAAGTTTAATATAAACCTAACAAAAAACTATCAATACTGTTCTCTTAAAACTCGTTTTAAAATTTTACCAGAAGGATTCTTTGGTAAGGCATCTAAAAAGACTACATCTTTAATTCTTTTGTATTCTGCTACTCTTTCCGAAACAAATGAGGTCACTTCGTTAGCTTGAACTTTTCCTCCTTCTTTTAATACTACAAAGGCTTTAGGAACTTCCCCTAGTCTTGGATCTGGTATACCAAGAACTGCAGCATCAATGATATCTGGATGTTCTTTTAATACATTTTCTAATTCCGCCGGTGGTACCTGGTAGCCTTTTACCTGAGAAACAACCAAGATAAGTTTAGAAATATTCCAAAATACCAGTCTTATTTCAAATTTGATCATAATGATTAAAGGCTCCGGGAAATTAGTCGGCAATTCCCGTGGTGGTAAATGAATAATAATAATAGTCTGTTTTCTGTTTGCAATAAGCATTTAATGTAATCTTGGTATTTAATGAAAGATTGTGATTATTGCTCAAATATTTCTTTTAGTAAAAAGTATTGAAATACATGAGTTTCGCAAGCAAATTGGTTCACTATCAGGTGGATAGTGAACCGATTATACATCCTTAGGTCCTTCAGTATAATGTTCATTCTTTTATTTGCGTGCTTTGCTTGCTTTTACGTACCTTTGCTTGCTTTTACGTACCTTAATAAGTTCCTTAAGACGATCACTAATTGTGACCGCGCCATTTTCATCGAGACTTGCTAGATCACCAGTTTTAAACCAACCATCTTCTGTAATCACTGCTTTTGTAGCTTCTGGGTTATTTCTATAGCCTTTCATTACTTGAGGTCCACGTATATGGAGTTCACCCAACTGAAATAATTAAATAAAATATATCCCGTCAAAACATATGTCAATGAGAGCTAAGTTCAATGTGAAGATAATTATGTGTGTTGGTTGCTGGCTGCAACGGTAAAAAAATGAGACCTACAATGGTGCTAATCAATGGTCAGTCGTAAAATTTGTTTGTAACAACATATTATAAATTCTTATTATAACAGTTTTATATTTTATATCCTATTGAAAAATATAATATCCTTTTTGACTCGCCTAGTTGTGATATAATAGATTTTGTGTTTGATGGCTAGATTATAGCAAATTTTTAGAATAATAATTACAATAAAATTAGCAGGACGACTAACAGGCTTAAAAGAGAAAAGGAATTATTGCATTAACATAGGCTTACTGATAGTCATAAAACCTAAAGGGTTACAATTCAAAATATGCTTTTAATATTTGCTTTGATAACTTATCACGCAGTGACAGTTGAAAATATATTTTAAAGTGCATTTCAAGCATATATTTACGAAGAAAAGTCAAGTATCATCATTATCAGTATTGCTTGTTATTTATTGTATAAATTCGATAAAGTATCATTATTGCTTGTTATTTATTGTATAAATTCGATAAAGTTCTTAGCAACAGAAATGTAGGCACGATGTAAAACAAAAAAATTAGGTATCAGGTGTTATTTTTTATTGAATAATTACTATACAAAATTTTGTAGACAAAATTCACAGACGCGTTTATGAGGCAAGCATGATATTTTGATATATGTAATTGAATGTCATTGACATTTTTATTATTTAGATAGCATTTTTATTTTAATGGAAGGCAAAGTATTGGTAATTATTTTATTAAATTACGATTACAGATTGTATGCTTTTATTATTTAAGTTAGGTAATGTGGAAGCGTAATATAAAAATGACGCGATATTTTCTTATTAATTAATATAATCTCATTTAAATTTCAATTGTTTACACGTTTATTGTACGCTTTTACTATTTTATGCAATCAAATATGCCAGTTATTTTTTGAAGAAAAAAAGATTAGCCTATTGAAAAGCAACCAAGAATGGGTGGATAAAGAATTTACTGCTAATGATAAAAAAAAACAAATTTTTCAATGTTGTTTTGTTGTAAAGTACCAAAAGGGTTACTTTTAACAAGTGGATAAAGTATTTTTTTAATATTACATTACCTGATTTGGTCCCAGCACACGTTGATCTTGATCTACGACCTTTAATTCGGTGTTAGATATGCCGTATCCAGCCTTGGTATAGTCTTTTGAGCCAGGAGGCATGCAGGTAGCCAGTGGTGATACTTCTGTCAAACCGTATAGTTGTAGAAAGTCCACATCATGCTGAAAAAAAAGAAAAAATAGGTTTAAATAGTATTATAACAACATTGAATTATCATTATTAGTTGCTATCGTTAGCATCAGTTATTATAATTTAGTCTCGAAGTGAATCGAATTTGTCTGTAACTGTAAGAATTTTATATTAAAATATACGGAGAAGTCATTCTGCCCAAGTTATAGACACGTTAGATTTTTCGAATATCCGATTTAAAAATAACTTGTCCTTGTTTTCAAGTAAATAAGGTAACATAATTTTGATCAGACCAGTATACAGACAGAGTTTCGCAATAGAAAAAACATTATTTACCAAAATTTTATCCCACATGGGTTACACATACAAAACTAGCAAAAAGTGAAAAATTTACAAAGGTAAACAGAAAATGAGATTGGACGCCGAAAACCTTGAATTATCCAAAAAGTTGAGACAACGTCTCTTGGGATTCAACAAGGCTTTTGTCGTACAAAAATATTTTAAAGTGTGTTTGTAGATGAATTGGTTACTTAGACCAACACAATGAAACTGTTCTAGAGAAGAATTATTGGAGGTAAAAGTACCAAAATACATTGTTGGCGAAATAAACTTTGGAAAAGAAAGAGGATGCTAAATAACTATAAAAAAATATATAGCGACACAAGTGACGTCAGATGTGGCTAAATGCAGTTGTTAGACCAAACGAGAGATGAAACTTTGAGGAAGGAAGAGAATGGATTACAAAATGTGATGAACTGACGGAAAAAATAATAATGGAAGCCTCCGGCAAAAGCCAGATTTTCAATCATAAAATATTTTAAATGTTTGTGTCTACCCCAAACGGGTATCCGGATAAAGCTGTAAATAACGCGGTCAAACACAAAAACCATCTCGATATTAAATACACCAGTTACTTTCATATCAAAATAAAAAAAATAAATAAAGCATTCAGTAGAAAATAAAAGTCAATCTACAAAAAAGGAATTTGAAGGATATTAATGTTGCTAAGTTTCAACTAATTTTATTATGCAAAACAACTTTGGATTATTTTTGTTTTCACCATTTATCTTCAGGAGAATGGCTCCGTGAGGATTTCTTTATTTTTATTTTTGAATTATTTGCTAAAGCTATTTATATTAATGGAGGCTTAATATTCAAAGTTGTTGGATTTTACGGGTCAGTTGGTTTGTAAAAGTAATAATATCAGGGTTTTATTCCCAAAGGAACGGGTAGAGTTATATTTAGTGCTCATTTTCAATGGGTGTGTTGTGAATTCTGGAATACTTTAAGGAAAAAGTTAAGAACGGAAAATCTTGTTAAAGGTTGCTAATAAATAAACATATCCAGTTAATTAATTGATCTGATGTCGTGGATGTGTTATGTAAAGAAAATGTAACCTAGTTGCATGTCGGACCAGTGTTTTAAGTTCCAAATGATTTAAACTCTTGACTCGACTTGACGCTCGACTCTTGACAATATTAATAAATCAATATTTTTATTATAAAAACTTCCATATTGTTCGGAAATAATGAGAATTGGAAAGTAATTGTTTGAAGTAATACTTCAACTTGAACGCGGTAAAATAAGTACGTTGAATTTTGATCGAGAGTCATTTTCTATGAATAAACAAAGCGATGAAGGTTTTGAACCTTCACGAATATTATTTATGTTCAGAACAAGAGTTTACGTTTCAAAGTACCTAATTGAAATCAGTTTATTTAAGATCCCTACAAAATTTGGAATTTTAGCCTGACCGTTTTTACTGTTTCATTGTAGTTGCTAAAAATAGACCAAGAGTTTTTGTAATTCTGTCTTTAAAATTACACACAGTTTAAGGTTTTTTATCTCTAGTTAATAAGTAGTTTAGGAGATTCAACTCAACATTCCGTCAACATCAGGAGGTAGAAGATTAAGTTTAAAAAATTTGTGGTGATTGAAAAGCTAAATGAAATAAAATAGATGTTAATGATAGTCTATGACAACGTTGCATAAAAATTCATAGTTGAGGACGGTTTTGTTAGTAACACAAGCGTTATGATTTGAATCTGGAAAAGGGATTTAAGAGAAGAGATCAAGTGTCGAATTGGTTAAATGTCGTTCCCCCTGCTCGAATCAGACTTAATTCTTTTAAGTAGTAGTTTCGGCAAACGAGCTAACGGGTTATGTGATGGTAAGCAATGAGCGCCACCCATGGACACCCGCAACGACGGAGGAGTTACGAGTGCGTTGCCGACCTTTTGAAGATTTTGGATATGAGTAGGGATTGGAGGAGTGTAAGGATTCGCCGTTAACCGCACTCACACGGCGAAACACGTTGTTTCACGCCGGTTTTCTGTGAGGCCGTGGCATCACTCCGACCCATACGTGCCGACCCATACGTGCCGAAGCATGGCTTTCCCACATTTAATAGGGACACATATAATGGGTCTCGTGATTCCTTGGTTGTAAAACATTTTTCTTCCAAACCTGCTTGGTACTTGTATCTATTCTTGTTCGAAAGCATAACACATTTTAGCAAGGCTGGTGTCCAAGGTTGTTTGGATCTGATGTGTGTGTCTGGTAAAGCTACATCCTTTTGATAATTTATCGTTCACTTTACCGATAACTAAAAGTTGTTTCAGATCATACCCTTATTTTACTAGACTGTTACTGTCTAAAAATACTTTAGTGAAATAAATAAGGAAACTACCTTGACTTTCTCTAAAACTCTAATGACGTCAGTCCTTGGTAATGGTGCAGCTCCACAAGTTATAGTTTTAACTGAGGCTAAATGCTCTTCTGTTATGCCAGGGTAGGAACCAAGAAATAATACTGAAAAAAGAAAGCAAATTTACACAATGTATGTGAATATAATATAAGTAGGTATATATAAAATAACTCAAAGAGAAAAAATATAAGAAAATGAAGAAATGACTTCTTCTTTACTGTTCACTACTACAAAAAATCACAATTGATTATTTTTATAACGATCTCAACTAGAATATGTATGTGATTTATTATAATAACTAAGGTAAAGTGGCAGAATAGTTCGTGCTCTGGCCATTAAACTTACCTAAAGGAGGCGCAGCACATAACAAATTTATTTTATAGTTTTTCATCGCATCAACGAATGTGTTTGGTTGGAACTTGGGCAGTGTCACAACTTTCAAACCTGCTGACAATTTGTGCAATAAAACTACCGAGAGGCCGTAGATATGGTAAAATGGCAATACACCTAATGTTACATCTTGATTAGACTCTGGAATAGAAATTAAAATCATTCAATTACCACTAAAAATAAAAATTGCTTGAAACAAACATAGAATAATATTATCATTAATATAAAATTTAGCTTGAAAAAACCCAACATTATTAAGCATATTTTAATCTAAAAATTTTCGTTCAATAAACTCGATGATGATAATTATCGATACATGATTATAATCTCGTTATCGTAATAATTTACGACTTAACTTACTGGTCGTTTCTTCATATACACGCATAGTTTCAACATCTTGCTGCACACAATTAGCAACAAGGTTTCTATTGGTCAGCTCAACGCCTTTTGGAAGACCGGTCGTTCCACTAGAATATGGGAATAAAGCAACATCTTCGGGCGTTCTAGAAACATTTTTAAGTACACTATATTCAACGTTATCTGCTAAAAACAATTCCTGGAATGATATAGTTTTTTCTGGAAGAATGCTGTCAGGGTTTTTCAAGGCAATGATTGGTATATCTCTCTTAGCTAATCGCAATGCCTCTTTTAAAACAGGTACAGAGTCTGGAACTCCTATCAGTACTTTTGGATCTGCTTGCTTTATTTGACGTTCCACTTCATCTGAAATAAAATATATTTTTTGTATCAGAAATATCTTTTTATTTCTAATATAATTTTATATTGTTCATATGAAGGATTAGTGGATCTATTGCAGACTAATGAATCAAGTCTGTAGATAATACATTTTTATCAGTACTTGTCTGAATTCAATACTGGGCGTGCCAATTAGATATTAGATTAGAAGATTAAACACGTTACAACTGTTTATGCAATCTTATTCATAACTCATTGTACAGCTTTGAAATGAGTATAACAAAGACCATCACATAAGATTCGATTCCTTGTTTTTCGACAACGAACTTACATGGGGTATAAATAGGGTTGGCAGTCGTAACTTCAGCTCCGGCTTCCAATGCTCCTAGTACACCGATGGCATACTCAGGAGAATTCGACATCATCAAACACACGGCATCCCCATCTCTTATTTTCATCTGCGTACGCAATTTTGCGGCGAAATTTCTCGAGTATTTGTACAATTCATGGAAGGTGTATGATCTGTTTGTGATTCCGCACACCTGAAAATGGTATCTATCTAAGTAAGATTAAAACTCATTATGCTATAACTCATTCTAGAATCGGCATTGTTAAAGATAAGTAACGATTTGATAAGTAGTAATGACATTATAATGTATGTCAAAGAGATCTGGTTGCTTCATAAGACTAGCATAATATTATGTAACTTATGTTAAATGAGGTATTATAAATTATTATAGTAATTACAGGAAACACGCTATGAAGGATGATATGCTGATTGTAAGCCATTGGCGCTATCCATGGGCCCTCGTAACACTGAAGGAGCCACAAGTGCGTTGCCGACTTTTTGTGGGTTCTTAGGCATTTAAGGATAAGAAAGGATTAACGATTTGGCGATTGAGGGTGGACTAGGATTGGGAGTTAGTAAACCTCACTCACATTGCGAAGTACAACGTAAGTGTAGTTTCACGTACTCGTATTTGGTATTCTATGAGGACGTGGTATCACTCCGGTTGAGCTGGCCTATGCATAACATAAGGTTCTCCTACAACTAATATCTTAAAAAAACATACACTGCGCAATGCAATGTTGTATACGTTTACTTAAATTACTATCTATATCATGTTCTTTTGTGTTTCATAACACGGTATTCATATGTCGATGGAAAACGACTCTAAGGTAATTTCGGAAGTAATTGCTCGTCATGGTCAGTTCAAGGTCACAATGTTACTGCTATTATTTGAGTGCTGGTATGGAGTGCTTGATTATAAAATATGACGGTCATTTGAAGGATTAATTTATGGTTTATAATTTTCAATGAAATAGTAGTCTTATCAGCGGAAAATTATTCTGGGAAAACTGTGTAAGTCTGTGCATGTTTTCAAGAATAACTTGGTCCTTTTATTATGAAACATGCAGTGAAGTTTTTGCATGGCAAAGACGAGAAAAAGTTGACGGTATGTTTTTAAAAACTAGTAGTGAAAAGCCAACATTTTTCTTTTAAGCTTTCAACTTGTTATCATAAGGTACAAAATTAATTCAGAAGAAGAAGAAGAAGAAACAGTATTAGTATTTAAATTTAGAAGTGCAGAAACATGCTCGATTGTCTTACATGACATGGATACCTTTACCTATATTTAAAAAAAATATCTCAACATTGGCAGCCACATTCTTCTTTTTTTGAAGTCTGAACAACACACTATAGAAAATACTCGTATTACACAAACAAAAATATAAACTTACAACTGCAGTTTTATCCGGCCACCGTCCCATATTCTCCCAAATATGTTCAGTGATGACTCTATTTGGTATTTCTATATCTCTATGAGGTGATTTGGCAATGTTGTCAGCTGTCCATACACTGCTTTGCTTTCTGCTGCTTAACAAAATACTTCTAGATGTTAATAGCCTTTGGGTTTTTCTTGATAAATTTCTAGCTGCCATGGTTACTCTGAAACATGTTAATTCGTTAGGTACTTACTAGCAACCCGCCCCAGCTTTTCACGGGTGCTAAATTTCCTCACTATTTAATGGATGTTATTATACATAAAAAACTTCCTTTTCAATCATTAGCCGTTGCATAGTTTTAAAGATAAGCATACATAGGGATATGGGGTCAGAGAAAGCTACTTTGTTATATAAGTAATTGTGGGAGAGCCATGCTTCGACATAAATGGGTCGGCTCCACCGGAGTGATACCATGGCCTCATAGAAAACCGGCGTGAAACAACCACAGCGTTGTGTTTAGCCGTGTGAGTGAGGTTACTGGAGGCCCAATCTTTCCCCACCCCCGATCCCTCCCTTATCCCTTAATATCCAAAACCCTAATCCCGAAAAGATCGGCAACGCACTCGTAACTCCTCCGCTGCGGGTTTTCATGGGCGGCGCTGAATGCTTACTTTGCCAGACTTCGTGGCAAGGTAAATAATGAGACTGTAGATGGTTAAGGTCTGTTTATTACTTTAATTGCTGGTGCTTATATACTAAGGAGATGCGTGAGATTTTCAGATTTAGCTATCCTAACAAACGTGCAACAATTAACATGTGTGTCTTATCTCTATCGTATCTAAGTAATGTAGCGACGTGATCGTGCCGCTACATATACTCCCCCCTTTTAAAAATAATTAACATATAAATTGAAAAAAATTAGTATGTACCTAATTATATAATAACTTAACCTTGCTGATAAATTACATCCTATGCGTAATGTAATGTCATTGTTGCTAATTCGAAGGAAATAAAAACTGCTGCCTTTGTTGTGACGGCGGCGGCAGTCGATGAACTATCCACTGCATTTGTGCTGATTGTTTCTGCTGATTGAAAATTTTAAATTCTTGTTATTACGAAGTCGTAATAATTCTTGGTCATCATGCTGACATCTTGCTAAATCAGCATAATTAATCGGTGATGGCACATCAATTTGTTCTATCCGTGACAATGCGTCTGCTACAATATTGTCACGTCCTTCTATATGTTGAATGTTGGTACAATATTGTGAAATAAAATCCAGTTGTCGTATTCGCCGTGGCGTATCATTAGATGACGGTTTTTGGGAAAATGCGTAAGTCAAAGGTCGATGATCTGTAAAGATAGTAAATTCTCTTCCTTCGACTAACCTTTGAAAATGTTTGACTGCCATATATATTCCGAGCAACTCTCTGTCGAATGTCGAGTATTTTTGTTGAGTATCACTTAATTTCTTTGAAAAGAATCCTAATGGTTCCCAATTACGTCCTGACTTCTGCTGCAGAACTGCGCCAACACAGGTCGAACTGGCGTCCGTCATAAGTGCCAAAGGGGCGGTGCGAGAGGGGTGAACTGTTAATACTGCGTTCCTTATATTTTCCTTGGTCCTTTAGTGATAATATGATGCTTAATCTTGTGTTTTGGAGTAGTGTGGAGGGAGGCTGGTTTCGTAATATCCTCGTATTCATTTAATAGTTGAGTAATGCGTGGATTCGTCTCAATGTTAATAGTGCGGATTGTTTGCTGCGTCGATTTGATCAGGGTTGCGGGCGTTGTCAGCTCAGTTACCCTATCTATGAGTTTTCGACCAGCTATATCGACTAATAGCTTATAATGCTCTAAAAAAATCTGCTCCAATAATCGGTTGTGTTACATCGGCGATGACAAAGTTCCATACAAAGTTTCTTCGTAGCCCGAAGTTTAAAGAGAGTGTTTTTTCACCATATGTCTTAATTTTTGTACCATTGGCGGCATAAAGTATACATTGTTCATCTTGTATTAGTGAATGTCTCTGTGGCTTGCTAATAACTGAAATATTTGCTCCCGTGTCAATCAAAAATCTCATACCACTTTTTCGGTCGGTAACAGTGAGGCGGTTGGACGGGTGAATAGCACAGAGTTCCGCCGTTGTCCGTGCTTCGATTAGTTTCCCTGTTTCCTTGAGTTGAGATCCTGTTTCCAATCACAAGGTTGAACACACTTTTGTGCATATTTTTTAAATCTTCCATGGTAAAAACAAAAGTGCCTTCTTTCTCTTGAACTCGACTGTGGTAGGAAATGCCGACGATTGGAATAACTTTGAGTGCTGCGTCGATAGTTTTTTTTTTTGACCTTGCTGAATTGCATTTAGTTCCAATTGCATTTCTGCTAACTGTGCTAGTATGCATGACATTGTATCGTCGCCAGATTTGTTTCCGTTTACAGCTGACACCTCTGTACGTGTTGAATTTATTAATATCTTGTCCGCGATCTGGCTCATCTTGTTCACATCTATGTCTTCTGTGACTGCTAGAACCGAAGTCACTGATGGTGGCAGAAGCCTCAACCATAGAAGTTTGATGGTTTCGTCGCTGATATTTCCGTTACTCAGGGTCCGCATCTTGCGCAGAAGATGTGATGGTTTCTGGTCGCCGAGATCCCTTTCAGACAATAATTTTTGGAGCTGACGTTGGTCTGATTCCTCATAGCAACTGATTAGGCGTTCTTTGATAGCCTTGTACTTTTCTATTGGCGGTGGGCAAGTAATGAGGTCACTAACCTGTATTATTTCTTCTTTTGGCAGTTTTGCAATGACCGTATAGTACTTGTAATCGTCTCCTTGCTTCTGTGGTGCTACTATGGCTTCTAGTTGCTTAAACCATAATCTGGGTTGGTCCCTCCAAAATTCCGGTTCCGGCTGATATCTCCAAGGCTTCTTGTTGGCTGCTGCTTGATTTGCAGGGTGAATGAGTCATGTTGATTGTTCTTCGTCGGGTCACCAATTTGCCAGACTTCGTGGCAAGGTAAATAATGAGACTGTAGATGGTTAAGGTCTGTTTATTACTTTAATTGCTGGTGCTTATATACTAAGGAGATGCGTGAGATTTTCAGATTTAGCCATCAGGTTATCCGTCTGCTCGTTTGCCGACCTATTACATAGAAAAAAAAATGTATGGCTAAGGTATTTCTATTTACTTCTTTGCCTTACTAAGAGACTTGGTTGAGTATTATATTGACTTGGGTTTATGTCACAATTGTGAACAGTGGTGAAGCAGGCTATTGATGCATAATAAATTTATAGTATTGCAATTGAATTTTAATAACATGATGGCAATTGCATGGTTACGTGTCTAATAAATCATATCCTATTTTATTGTGGCTTCTAACATCTATTAAAGGAAGGTTTTCTTAGCGCACATATTTATATATACAAATGAATTTCAAAGATTAACAAGCTTATTACTTTTTCTTTGTATTGAACCACATTCTTACTTAGATTAACGATAATAATTGATTAATCACTACAGTACTACATAGTATAAAACAAAGTCGCTTTCTTTGTCCCTATATCCCAAACGGATTTCGATGCGGTGTTTTTAATAATTAGATTGAAGAGGAAGGTTTATACTTAATCCTAAATACTAAATAATACAATCAAAAATATTAGAAGTATACCGGTTTGAAAAAAATGTTCAAGTCCAAGGTCAAAGACCATTGAGTGAGATATGTATAGTGAAATTTATTTTATATGAAAGTTATAATATAAGATAACCTAGCTGGTATTTTTTTTTATTCTCTTAATAAATATGTACACATCTACCTATCCTATAGGTCAGAGGTACAACTTTAATTACCAAAATTAACAAGTGTTTATCACTCCAAATTAAACACTTTTTTCAAAAGAGAACCCAAAGGAAATAGAACAGAAATTAAAAACAAAGATCACAAAAAAAAAATACTCACATTTATAATTTTAAATTAACACACGAACGCCAAAATTCAATGCAAAAATAAGACCTATTTTCATTAACACTTATTAAAATTAATAATAATAAAAATAACACAAAGAAATCAGTCAATCATAACTCCTTCGTGACGGTTTTGAACAACAACAAAAAAAAGAACGCGAACTGTTCAGATAATTTTATCTCAAGATAAGAATTTTTAAACGATTAATATGTAATCTATGTATACATAATAGTATACACGACGTATGTACACGCGTCACAAGTGACAGTGTAACACTGATCGGATCGTTTTACTATCTACAAGCGTGCCTTGTTCAGGGTCATAAACACAAATAAAACTTGTATTCAACTATTTTTACTTATATAGGTGGTCCCATTCATTACAATTTTGGTAGAACTACGAATATTTCTATACATAATGTACCTACATACATAATTATGTTTATTAATAAGGTAGATTTTTCAAATAAGGAAATAAGGTTTTTGTAATGTATATACATATGTATATGAACTGCAAACTCGAAAACGGCTAAACCAATTTGGTAAATTTGTTTTTGAATATTTTTTTGAAATCTAGAAGGTCAGAAAAAAATGCCGTGTTTATTAAAAAATGATGTAATATTGAATTTTGAAGTGGGTGCGGAGTTCGAGGGTCACTATTAAATTCTTTGATTTTTCTTGCTGACATTATTATGATTTTTAGAACGTTTTTAAGATGTTATAATTTAAAATTAAGTTATTTAATTTTTTTAATTTACATAGGAAACTTTATGGTATTACTTTTGGGCGATTTGAAGATTAGGATGTTGGAGGACTACTTCGTTACTTCACTCACACGGCGAAACACAACACTGCACATAATTTGCCATAGTAAAGTAAGGAAAAAATAATAATTTAATTCATATTAAACCTTATAGTTTTGCTGGAATATCCTGCTATCTATCTAGCTTGCTTGATCCGCTGTTTTACTTGTTTAATCAATGGGTTATATTTTTTTAGTAATAAATAATGTTACTTATTGTCTTAAGTTGACTAACGGCAATGAAATATCAAAGAAACTTATTGCTTTATTTCCATAAATTATTATTTATAGTTTTCCTTCTTTAGTCTTAGGGATTAGGGTTTCGGACTTTAAAGGGTTAGGGAGGGATGGAGGAAGGGTAAGGATGGACGTCGTGTTTCGACGTGTGAGTAAGGCCGCTGGAATCCCAAATCAGCTCCCACTATCCGCAAAATTCCCGAAACTTAAATACCTAATCGCGAAAATCATTACACACATTGAAAATTTCCAGACATGCTCGCTGCATGCCGCATGCATGCTGCTTAGACATGTCGTGGTGGCCCGGAGGTTAAGGAGCCCTTTTCTCATGCATGTACCAGTGTGTTTCCGAGTTATATGTACTTTCTATGATTATTTAGACACCACTGACATACGGTGAAGGTAAACCTCGTGAGGAAACCTGGACTTATAATTTCTAATTATAAGTTTGAAATCGCCAACCCGCATTGAGTAAGCGTGGTGATAAATGCTCTAAACTTCTCCGTATGAGAAGCGGCATTTGCTTAGCAGTGGGCACTTATAGGCTGATGATGATGATGAAGTCTTTAGTACGATGGACCTGAGCATTTATTTCTGGTCCTTTGAATAACATACTCCCTATTGATGACTCATTCCATATGGGCACTTGGTAGCATAATAATGTCATCAATCATCGATAATGTTCACAATGAAGTAGTAAAAAGGAAATGTTACACTGCACACACAGTTGTTATAGTAATCGGTCGTCTGACGATTGTACGAGTAGAGGTCAACAGTATAAAGAACATTTTTTATTATTTATTTATTAAGTTATCTATTATCTTCACACAAAACAGCCTGAATGGCGGACTTAATACTAAGGAATACCTCTTTATTATCAGACTAATTTTACTTACTATTTAAGTTTGTTAGAATGGATGGATGGATGATTGTCGAGTATAACAATCGTATAAACAACTGTTTAGTTTTGAATTGGCACACAGATTCATTAAAGCTTGGAATTACACGAGGCATGTTTTGTTCTGTGGGAATAAACGCGAGTGATACAGGTGGCAGAAGAGACTACTACTTCTTGAAATGGTCTTCAAACTTTTGGTTAGACAAATACCTGATGTAAGTCACAAGAAACTGTTGCTTGACACTCACAACCTCTTTAACATGTAAGTTATTGGACCATTATTGATACAGAATTTGAAATCTTGTGGCTTACATACTTGTGTCTTTGTATCAAGAAAAATTAAATTCAGACGATAGACAGACGTAAACCGTTCGAAGAATAACGTATTTTTAGTACATTTGCTACTTCGATGCTTTCATCACAAATTTTAAAAACTAGTAGAGATCAAACCTCAGCACTGACTAAAATCAAACAAGCTTACAACTAGACCGACTCGATGATGACAGCCAAAACCTACCTATTAGTTGCAGCTATACTTTACCATTGTGTAATAATTGCTTTTGTCGGTAAACTCGTCACAAGAGCTACTGATATTTCCAAGGTTTTGACATTGACTTGAAGTTGTTTAATAATAGAATTTGCAATATCTCTTTACTTGTAACAATATAAAGAGAATGGCTAGGTTAATTAATAAAATAAAAATAATATATGGAAGACACCAAAAACTTTTATCGTTTCACATATTATTTAGTTAGTTATCTAAAGGGATGTCCTGCTTCAATACGACACGATGATAAGTATGAGATAACATGTGTGACGTTATGACAAAAATGTCCTATGTAATTTTTGATATTGATTTCTTTATCAAAATATCTTGTCTCAGACTTGTACTTCCTCCTGTATCATGAGTTTGTTTACAAACATACAATTACACGTACATATCACTCCTACATAGAGCCGGAACAACTATTAATTGATCACATCACATTCAGCGTGGAAGAGCCGAGAGATAATGCGACTGGAGTGATACCACGGTATCACAGAAAACCAGCGTGAAGCAACACTAACTTTAGTTTCCTCATGTAATTGAGGTTACCGGAGGCCCAATTGTTTCCCTCTCCATCCTTTCTCAAATCCTCAATCGATTAATCCTACTATCCAACTAGAAGCCGGCAACGCACTTATAATAACTGCTTTGGTATTAGGAATGCCCTTGGGCGGCGCCAGTTGTTTACCATTATATAATCGGTATGCTCGTTTGCCGACCTCTCAAAAAAAAACTCATTCAAATGGACCTACGACACGTTGTGACTCAGCGTTGCGTAGGTAGGGTCGGGTCACGTTCAGCTGGGGTTGCGGGGTAACCGAAACCTCAGCCCAGAGCAGGAGAAGGAACGGGGGGGTTTTTAGTCAGTAAGAGTCTGACACACTCTGAAGTTATTGGATGATTGACGATGACAAAAAAAAGGGTCTCTTGCTCTGCAATATGCATTGACATATCTATACAGACGTACAGATTTTGCTAATACTACTTAGTTACTTACTAGTTAAAAAAATACCAGAAACGAATAATTCAAAATAATCTAAGAGCAGTTACATGCAGCACTTTATCCAAGTGAGAATCAAGAACAAATAGTTTTCAATAAATCACAAAGTCCTAAGTAACACCTTTCATATTACTTACAACTAACAAGAAGTACTAGTGAACACTCCAAGAATTAGTTCTACTTCGATATTTAAAGTCCCGCTAACAGCACTCAACTTCCAGTTAGGTAAGTTTTCTAACTAGGAAAGTATGAGTCGCCCACATTTGTATTGCCAATGATGTTGGAGCGGTTATTGTGATACTGGTTTAGCGATTTCATTAAAAGGTTTTCCAGAAAGTTCCTTTTGTCAGCAGCGTTTTTAAGGTTTGATATTGTAAAGCATTGTAAAAATAAATGGTTTTTCTTTTCTTTCTCTTTCATAGTAAAAAAGGTTTTATATAACTTTAACATATAAGTGCTTTGTCGTCTTTTTACTGAAACTCACTTGTAACTTGAAATAATGTTAGGTACTTCAATATGAGAGCTTTCGCATATTTTTGATATAAACGAGCACGGGGATCCCCTGTTGGTAAGCAATCGGCGCCGCCCATGAACACCTGCAACATAGAAAGAGTTCCCAGTGCGTTGTTAGCCTTTTGGAGTTTAGAGATAGGATAGGACCTATCTTCATCCTCCTCCTATCCCCAACACCTCAACCGTTGTTTAACATCGGTTGAGGGTATTGTGTCACTCAGGTCAAGTTAACCCATTCATCTGAACCATGGCTCTCCCACACTGGAACACACACACACACACACACAAACACAAGATTTCAAGCTTTAAAGAGTAAACATATAAATATTCCGACTACATACTACAAAGTACAACGACAAAATAAACCATTTCCTATTTTAGACATTGACTTTAAAAAATGTCCAAAACTCGCAACAGAACAAATGGACAATACAAAGCCAACCCACACGACATTACGTGCAGTTGCATGACTGCCTCGATTCTATGAATGCTTGGGTCTATCATCAAGTGATTACGTACGGACAGAACACCGTATCAAAGGCAATTGCCAGTAACAATGTACTTCCGAACAGTAACTAATAGTAAATGGAAGGTAATTTCTCGGAGACTGGAGGCTTGTAGACAATAATATGTATTCTGATGTATCCAATTACGCAAGACAATGGATCATGTGGATGCTGACGAAAGGTTTACATCGAATATGTCAATGGGAGATCCACACTTTGGCATGAAAGGCTCTACCGGAGTGATACCATGGCAGAATATGTAAGTGAGGATATTAGAGGTCCAATACCCACATTTCCCAATAACCTTTAACCAATCGTGGTAATTAGAGATACAATCGGTGCGCGGACGCCGGCGATTGCTCAGGGTTGTTGAATTTAAGGGCCGGCAACACACTTGCACCCCCTGATATCGCGGGTGTCAATGAACGGCACTTAATCTATACTATTACTATAATATAATATATAATAATAATAATATTTTTTTTTGGTTTATGAAAATATTTAAAAATGTAAAAATCAAGTTTTAAAATTAATAAGAACATAATATTATAACGAGGTTAGTTTGTAAGTTTGTAAGTTTGTAAGTTTGTATGTTTGTAAGTTTGTAAGTAGGGGGTAATCTTTGGAACAGCCGGTCGGATTTCCAAAATCCTTCAAAACCTTTCACTGATAGACGACTACTTCCTGAGCGCTATAGGCTATAAAACATCACGGTACGATTAAATGGAGCCGAGCAGCGGGTGAAACCGCGCAAGAATAGCTAGTAAAATAATAAAAATGTGGACCTAACTACATATTATAGTCTTAAGTTACGGA